CTGGTTTATACTTCTGCGACTGGCGTAACCCACGGCGCATGCAACGCGTGTAGCTGTGCATTTATACTTCTGCGCGCTGTCTCTGTTGGTCTGCATTAACACTTCTGAAACGCTAGTGGGCAGTGAGGTGTAAATGTTCCTCTGTGTCGAGTTTCTTCGCTGTTGTTATGCTTTTCCTGAACACTTCCAGGATGTACAAGTGGCTCAAACTCGCTCATTTTGAGGCAGGAACCGGCGGACGTGCAACAACTTTAACTATGAGGTAAACACAGAACAAAAATTTCCATCCGGAGCTCCTTCACGGGACTCCACACTTGTAAACAATCGCTCCATTGGGCTCGCACCATTCACGCGGCTCTCGGTCCCCCCCAGACTCGTCAGCGATACCAAGCCGACCAATCACAGAGCTTACGCTATGCGTCGTTGCGACGTGTAGGTAAATTTTTTTGCAAAAAAAATAGCGATAGCGAAGGGCTATGCGTCAGCGCCGTAGAATACGCCGGCGTTTGACGCAGAAGTATAAATCAGCCTTAAGTTATTAAGAGCTGATCTCCAACCTGTAAAAGCTAAACCAGGGACACAATAGACACAAGAGACAATCTGTTGCGGAAACTCAAGGTTGTCTCTTGTACGTTCAGCTGCGTTATCAAACTGGTTCAAGACTGGTTCCATCAACATTCGGCTACAATATCCTGACAACACATAGTAGTAAGAGTTGAGTCTATCTACACGTGAACACAGCTACTGCGCTCGTGCATCCAGGTTAATCATGAACAGCTCAGTGCGCATGCGCTAGTTGCACTATCGCGGTCTGATTATGTTTCAATCGAGGTTTATATGCATCAAATACATAACATCTGTGCCAAACATCTCAACTGACGAACATATTAACAATAATACAACCGTATAGCTGAATTAAATGTGTGCATTGGCATGTTACAGCCCTAATGAGTATGATTATGTGAAACTCCATATAGATACATATTGCAATGATTTCGGGTACTTACTTAGCGATGCACACACACATATATGCACAATCCTTAAATGTTCTGCTGAGTTGGACTCTGTAATACCTGCTTTATAACTTTAAACTATCAACAACCAACATTGAGCTATATTCTAGCGATTGTTCTTCCCGCTCCGTGGTTGTTGATGCTAGAGCGGATACGTTTGCGGCCGGAAGTCAGCGAGAATTATTTCTATTATTTATTAAATTTCTCACTTGTTATATTTTATTAACATCTACCCCCACCCCATCCCTAAACCCAACCGTCACAGTAATGTAAAAACTGTTGTTGTACCGAGTATTAGTTATGTTATCTGTTAAATAACCCAAATAAAATTTATTTTTGAACGCCTACCCCCACCCCAACCCTAAACCCAACCCTCACAGTACTGTAAAAATATAAATTATTGTTATACAGTGTTATAAAAAATGCTGCTGTATTAATGTGCATAGCGCACTTCCGGCCGGCCGCATATCCGATCTAGACTTTACCCTCCGTGGTGGATTTTGGCATAGTCCATTTCACGTGAGATGGCGGGGGTGAGTGGAAGAAACCAAGTCGCGGGGGGAATATTTTCTACAGAAATAATTTATGATGTCTTATGTGGCCCGGTACCAATTGTTCAACGGACCGGTACCGGTCAGAGACAATATCATGGCGAATAGAACAGGTGTTATTCCTCTCCTCTGCATCAGTAAGTCCATCCAGAGAGAGAGAGAGAGAGAGAGAGATCTCCATGACCTATGACCTGGTTTTTGAGGGTCTCCTGAAAACAAAGTTGTAATAGACAGGCAAGGAGAGGTGCACGGACTCTGAACATTCTTACATAAAGCAGTGTTTTAGTTATTCATTGCTTCAGGTCAATTTAAAAGTTAGATGCTCATGTAAATAATCAAATAATTTTATGTAATAAAAGTGATGAGAAACGTTGATTCCCGTTGAGATGGATTTGAAGGTAGAAATCCGACTCCTTCGCTGTCGACATTTATGTCCTTGACTTTTTTTTGGCTCATTGAGTTTGTCGTTGGGATTTTTAATAATTAGTTTACTCATAGATGTAATTTCCTGCAGTTTTATTCATGAAGAAGTCATCTACATAAGGCTTTCCTCTTCTTCTCCATCTTCTGCCCAGCGCAAAGTGATGCAGCAAGAGAGAGTGAGTGTGATTTCTCAGTTTCTCTCTTTCTCTTTGACACACGCACTGAATCTCTCATGCGTTTGCCGCAGTTTCAATCACGAATCAATTATGACTCTGTGATGCGGGGCGATGTATTGAATCACAATGATGTATGTTGCATCCTGGGATAGCTGGCAATAGAATATGTGTACATGCATGTGCATACAATGAACTGTAGTCAAAGAGTTTAGCTCCATTTAACAGATGCAGGAATAAATCCAGTAAGATATTTCGACAAGCGTATTGAGATTTGATGCTGTAGAAGCTCGTGTGTGTCAGCCACGGACAAAAATAAACGAATTAAAAGATCACGGCGACATTTATTGCATCTATTTTTGTTTTTTGTCTCACATTGGCTTGTTTCATCTCAATTCAGATTTTATTTTTGCTCTCTTTTTTAAAGTTTGAGTTTAGATTTCATAATTCTGACTTCTTTTTTATTATTCGTAATGTGTGTAGTCCAGACAATTGTCTTTTTTTCTCTAGTTCTGAAACAAACTTTTGTATAAAGGGTAAAGTTTGTATAAAACAAATAAGCCTTATTTTATTTATTATTTATTATTTTATGCATATTTTACTCTAAATCGTGAGTTTTTTTTCCTAAATTCTGCATTTAAATTTCACATTTTTACATTTGAGTTTACTTTATATCTTGCAAATAAGATTTTTCCTATCAAATTCTGCAAATTTGCAAATGCGCATCAAAAAAAAAAAAGTACAACTTCTGACCTTAAATTCTGCCTTTTTCTGCCAATTTGTGGTTTATTATTCACTATTTAGACCATTTTTAATACATATTTTTTAATTTTTCCATTAATTCTCTCATTAATTCTCTCTTTTTCTATTCTAAAAACAAGCCTTTTATGCTACTATAGGGTAAAGTTAATATCAAACCAATAAGGTTTAATTTAGTCTACACATATTTTACATTATTTGTAGTTTATTATTCACAATTAGAATTTTTTTCTCAATTCAGATTTTACATTTTGCTCTTTTCTTTAATTCTGAGTTTATATTTTGTAATTCTGACTTCTTTAATTCCCTCAGTAAAATAATCTCTCTTGCAGAAACAAGCTTCTGTATGTAAAGGGTAAAGGGTAAAGTCAATACAAAACAAATGCGGTTATTGAAATCTACACATATTTTACATTATTCATTCAGTATTCTGACTTTTTTACTCTAAATTACGAGTTTTGATTTATGAGTTCTGCATTTAAATCTCACATTTTTACTTTTGCGTTTACTTTATATCTTGCAAATCTGATTTCCCCCCTCAAATTCTTATAGTTAAGTCATAATTCTGACTTTTTTTTAAATAAATGTACTTCTGACCTTAAATTCTGACTTTTGCTGCCAATTTGTGGTTTATTTTTCACTCTTTTAGACAATTTTTTCTTAATTCTGAGTTCAGATTTTGCTCTTTTTGAAATCCTGAGTTTACATTTCAATATTCTGACTTATTTTTTACGCAGTAAATGACATTTTTCTATTGCAGAAACAAACTTCTGCATGTTACTGTAGGGCAAACTTCATTTCAAACTATTACGGTTATTTCAGTCTCTACATATATCACATTATTCATTCAGTATTCTGACCTTCTTTTACTAGTTTTGACTTATGAGTTTTACATTTGAATCTTACATTTTTACTTTTGCATTTACTTTATATCTTGAAATTTTAATGTTTCCCCTCAAAATTCTTAGTTTATATAACAATTTTGACGTTTTTTAAATAAATGTTCAACTTCTGACCTTAAATTCTGCCTTTTTCTGCCAATTTGTGGTTTATTATTCACTATTAAGACCATTTTTAATACATATTTTTCATTTTTCCATTAATTCTCTCATTAATTCTCTGTTTTTCTATTCCAAAAACAAGCCTTCTATGCTGTAGGGTAAAGTTAATATCAAACCAATAAGGTTTAATTTAATCTACACATTATTTTTTACACTTTTTTTTACCCTAAATTACTAGTTTTGACTAATGAGTTCTGCATTTAAATCTTACATTTTTACTTTTGCGTTTACTTTGTATATTGCAAATCGGATTTCCCCCCCCAAACTCTTATAGTTATTTTCACAATTTTGACCTTTTTTTAATAAATGTACAATTTCTGACCTTAAATTATGACTTTTACTGCCAATTTGTGGTTCATTATTCACAATTTACACCATGTTTTAATACATATTTTTCATTTTTCCATTAATTCTCTCAATAAAATCCTCTTTTTCTAATCCAGAAACAAGCCGTCTATGCTACTGTAGGGTAAAGTTAATATCAAACCAATAAGGTTTAATTTAATCTAAACATATTTTACATTATTCATTCAGTATTCTGACTTTTTTACTCTAAATTACGAGTTTTGACTAATGAGTTCTGCATTTAAATCTCACACTTTTACTTTTGCGTTTACTTTATATCTTGCAAATCTGATTTCCCCCCTCAAATTCTTATAGTTAAATCACAAGTCTGACTTTTTTTTTTAAATAAATGTACTTCTGACCCTTAAATTCTGACTTTTACTGCCAATTTGTGGTTCATTATTCACAATTTACACCATGTTTTAATTCATATTCATTAATTCTCTCAATAAAATCATCTTTTTCTATTTCAGAAACAACCTTCTATATGCTACTGTAGGGTAAAGTTAATATTAAACCAATAGGTTTATTTGATCATATGCATATATGACATTATCCATACAGTGTTTGTGTTATTTTTCACTCAATGTTTATTAGTATTTATATATAGGAATCAAAAAGCTTCAATGCCTTAATGAGGGACTAATTACACGTCATTTCTTCTTTCTCTTACAGAAACCTCTTGGACAGAGACACCTTCTCCAAATCTGATCCAAGTAAGCGTTTCATTATCACACAAATAACAGCATGAGAAGCGCATTAATTCGTATTAATTGAAACGTCACTGGTAAAAACATCTGCAAATGCATGAACCCCGTCTGAATCTCCTTTTATTTTCTGCATTTGAGCGCAGGGATGGCCATAGGGAGCGTGATTAGTGTGCCATATCGTACCTGCTTTAATCATGATGCTGTTTTATTAGAAAGCTTGATCGTGCACTGCTGCATTGGTTTCATATGCAGCGCAGTGCATTATTAGCGTTGGTTTTGTTTGCGTGTTCACGTGTGGCGCGCTCACGTGTGTTGTGTAGTCCAGATGTTGTGTTCGGCTACACATTCACAGCTTTAATGAACGTACAGATGCGTTTTCCTGCAGGCTCCGCATTGTTCATTCTGCCGCACGGCTGATTGCACTGACTGTTTCTGACACGCACACACATTATATGCTCTAAAAGCTCTCGTTTCGATTATTCCTCTGCCAAGAAAATGCCGGAAATTGGGCCAATTATATTGTTTGCAAAGTGTGCAACTTTTTCTCGCTCTTTGTTCGTTTAAAGGGATCAAATCCGAAACCCTTTCCCACATTTTCGCCCTGAAGTCAGTGTGTAATGTTAGTTTTACTGACATAAGATTGTGTTTTTTCCATGACCCTTTTCTGAGTAAACTTTCAGTGACCCTCTCTCCATTTCTTTATTTTATTTTCCAAACTGTAGTGAGATTTAATGTAATCATTCATTCATTTTCCTTCGGCTTAATAAGTCCCTTATTTATCACAGCAGAACGAACCGCCAACTATTCCAGCATTTTTATTGGTGTAGCTCATTTCATACACACATGCAACTTAAAGCACTTTACAAAGAAATTTTAATAAAGAGCATCAATATCAGGTAAAATATCTATATTTTAATAAACTAATACAAAAAAAAAAGTATTAGCAAAACAAACAACAAATATATATGAGCAATATCACTCGAGTAGCAGTGCGATGTGGCTGTGTGTTGGCACTAGTGGGGGGCGTTGGTTGAGGCCGAGTGCCTTAGTGTCGCACCAGTGACGATATACAGCCACATCGCACTGCAACTCGTGTGATATTGCGTTTATACAACAGTTCTACGACATAATCATGTATTTCAAAATAAAAATTAAACATTGAGAGTCTCCAAACCCTTTTGTAAGAGAAACTACTTTCTTCCACCATTCATTCACATCTGCAGCTGACGTCAGAACAGTAGAAATCGTTGCTAATTCACTAACATCACCAGAGCTGGGTAGAGAATTTAAAATCTATACTCAAGTAAAAATAACATCTTAAAAGTTACTTGACTAAAAGTAAATAAGTATCTGATGAAAAAAGTACTCAGGTTGATAGTTACTAATTACTTTTGACTTATTACTTTTCATTATATATATATATATATGTGTGTGTATGTGTGTGTGTGTATATATGTGTGTGTGTGTGTGTGTGTGTGTGTGTGTGTGTGTGTGTGTGTGTGTGTATACAGTTGAAGTCAGAATTATTCGCACTCCTGTGAATTTCTTTTTTTTTTTTTTTTTTACTTCCCAAATTATGTTTAACAGAGCCATTTTTCACAGTATTTCCTATAATATTTTTTCTTCTGGTGAAAGTCTTGTTTTATATCAGCTAAAATAAAAGCACTTTTAAACCATTTTAAGGTCAATATTATCAGCCCCTTTGAGCAATATTTCTTTTGATTTTCTTTCTTTTTTTAAATATTTCCCTAATGATGTTGAACAAATTCAGGAATTTCTCACAGTATTTCCTATAATATTTTTTTCTTCTGGAGAAAGTCTTATTTGTTTTATTTCAGCTAGAATAAAAGCAGTTCTTAATTGTTTTAAAGCCATTTTAAGGTCAATATTATTCGCCCCCTTAAGCTATATTAGTTTTGGATTGTCTCCAGAACAAACCACTGTTATACAATGACTTGCCTAATTACCTTAACTTTACCCTAATTACCCTAGTGAAGCCTTTAAATGTCACTTTAAGCTGAACACTAGTGTCTTGAAGAATATCTAGTCTAATATTATGTGCTGTCAGATAAAGTAAATCAGTTATTAGAGATGAGGTTTTAACACTATTATGCTTTGAAATGTGTTGAAGAAATCTGCTCTCCGTTAAACCGAAATTGGGGGGAGAATATACAGGAATAATTCTGACTTCAACTGTATATGGCTGCGGTGTGACGTGAAGCGCAGTGGACGGCAGTGAGCGATGAGTCTATTTTTAGCCGTCTGGAGTTCCTGATTCCAGTGTCTTTTTGGCCGATGAATGAAGGAGGAGCTGAAGCTCTGCGTGACTGTCCTCATCACGTCAGCACAGCTCAGACTCAGCACAGCTTCACCAAGGCCCTACACATCTCATAAAGCACTCACAAATATCACATTATATATATATACTACCCTTAAAAGTCATCATGGTATCAGTATGGATAAATCTGCCCGTTCTCGTTGTTGTTTTCTTTAAAGGGCACCAATTATGCAAAAATCACTTGTATAAGGGGTTTAAACACAGTTGTGAGGCATCAGTGTGTGATTATAACCAGCTTCTAATGGTAAAAAGGAATTCATTGTATTATTTGTTAGCACACTTGATAAAAGCACACTTTGATTGACATTCCCCAGTAGTATGATGTCATCAGAGGGTGTAAGCCCCGCCCACTAGGGACTATCTCTCCCTTATTAGCATATAACATACGTCTTGTTTTTGAATCTGCCACTATGCCGACACACAGGCATATGTAGCTCCGCCCACTTTTGAAAAGAGCACAATCTCATTTGAATTTAAAGCGCCAGTCATGAAAAAACACCACAATTCGGATCAGAGCCTAAACGGGTCAGTTTCAGACAGTTATAAAACATTATCAGTACATTATGTGGTATTTTGAGCTGAAACTTCACACACACACACTCTAGTGACATCAGAGACTTTGTTTACATCTTGTAAATTCACAGTCACTCCTATGAGATCGACCAATAGCAAACCACAACGGTCCAATCAGTTCTCCATGAACAGTATAAAGCCCCGCCTACATTTGTTGTTGGTGCTGTTTATTGGAGTGTGGGCGGGATCAAACGGTCACTCCTATGAGACCCACCAATAGCAAACCACAGCTGTCCAATCAGTTCTCCATGAAGAATATAAAGCCCCGCCCATATTTGTTGTTGGTGGTGTTTATTGGAGTGTGGGCGGGATCAAACGGTCACTCCTATGAGACCCACCAATAGCAAACCACAACTGTCCAATCAGTTCTCCATGAAGAATATAAAGCCCCGCCCATATTTGTTGTTGGTGCTGTTTATTGGAGTGTGGGCGGGATCAAACGGTCACTCCTATGAGACCCACCAATAGCAAACCACAACCGTCCAATCAGTTCTCCATGAAGAAAATAAAGCCCCGCCCACATTTGTTGTTGGTGGTGTTTATTGGTGTGTGGGCGGGATCAGACTGTCACTCCTATGAGATTCACCAATAGCAAACCACAACCGTCCAATCAGTTCTCCATGAAGGATATAAAGCCCCGCCTACATTTGTTGTTGGTGCTGTTTATTGGAGTGTGGGCGGGATCAAACAGTCACTCCTATGAGATCCACCAATAGCAAACCACAACCGTCCAATCAGTTCTCCATGAAGAAAATAAAGCCCCGCCCACATTTGTTGTTTTTGACTTAAAAAACAAACAAAACTTAGCATTTTTTGCCAAATTAACAAATGTTGCTATTGTTTTTTAAATGTTTTAAGAGAAGACCTGGTCACTTCATTTTATGCTACAATTCTCACTGTTTACAACCCATTTTGGCCTCAATGAGATCCTCTTTTGTTTTTATTTGAGTTTAGGTGTTGGCTAGGATTAGGGATGTAGAATAATATTGCAGACTATGTGCTTAAGTACTAACAAACAATCAATATCTAAATAATAGACAGGTAATAAGCCACTTATAGTCAGAATGTGTACCTAAATGTGTTACTGAAGTCAGATTTTTTTCAAAGACATCACTCATTCATTCAGTTTTTTTCAGTTCAGTACCATTATTAATCAGGGGTCCAGCATATGTGTTACGCAGCGGATGCTCTTCCAGCTGCATCTAAGTACTAAGAAACACCCATAAACACTCATTCACACACACATACACTACTGCCAGTTTAGTTAATCAATTCCCCTATAGCGCATGTGTTTGGACTGTGAGGGAAACCGGAGCACCCAGATGAAACCCACAGCAACACGGGGAGAACATGCAAACTCCACACAGAAACAACAACTGACCCAGCCGAGGCTTGAACCAGCGGCCTTCTTGCCGATAGAGGACAGCGCTACCCACTGTGCCACCATGCCGCCTTAAAGACATCATATATATATATATACAATAATACAGCAATATTATTATAATTTAACAGAACTTTATATAATTTATTTGCATGTATATTTATTCATTTAACATTTAAAAGAGAGGGAAGATCTACAGGGAGACGAATTAGGGGTTATAATTCATTCCACCGGCATGGAACAGAAAATGCAAAGGTTTTGGAAAGCAATAAAATGTCATATATTGCTGTGATTTAAAGCTGAATTTACTGCATCATTGGCACATTACACATCTCTCTGACACACACACACACACACACACACACATGCATACACATAAAATAATGATAATTGTTATTATTATCATTTTCATCATGATTTACAGCCACAAGACACCCACGAAAATGCCATTCAGTGTATTCAACCATAGTTTACATGTCAAACATTTGTGCTAGGCGTAATTACAGGAATCATTTGACATATTAAAAGACTCTGGATATTTCAGGATCTCAGTGCAGCCTCAAATTATAGTCAATTATTTGTCATTTTAAATATGTATACCACTATGTTTTATTCATTTCTCAGCAAGAAGCTTTTAATCAGTTTAAATATAATAGAATTCAGTATGACTTTCAGATGTTTCTTTCATATGCTGTAATAAGCACAGGCCAAATA